TCCGCTGCCCTCGCCTCTCGCACTCCCTCAAGTCCATCCTGCCCAGCTGGGCCTCGGGGAAGCCAGGCAGCAACTGGGACAGGAGGACGGGAGGTGGCACCAGGCGGCACGGGCTCCAGGGTGTGGGGCTGAGCCTGGAGGGACCCGCCTGCCCCAGGGACACGGCGAGAGGGAGGAACGGGGCCTCTACTCAGACAACAGGGAAGCAGCGGGGCCTGGAGCGCGGGCACCTGCCCCTCAGGCCGGAGCAGCCTAGAAGGCTGCCAGGAGGCGCCGTCCAGGGAACACCCACAGATGTTCCTCACTCCTGTGGGTCTCCCAGCCGCGTACCAGCAGCCCAGGCACCCTGCCCAGGACAAGAGGCCCTGACCACAGTCCGGGCGAAGAGGTTGGGGGGGCAGGCTCAGCCCTGCATCCCTCAGGGCCAGCCCCCCTCCTGGCCTCCCCTGCCGCCCGCAGGACCAGATCTCCCGTGCCTGCTGCGTGGAGGGAACATGTGAACTCCAGCGTCTGCCTCCAGCCCAGCCTCTCGGACACCCCATCCGGCCCTGCCCACCCCCAAAGCGGCACTGCGGGCAGTCGGGGACCTGCCTGGCCCTCCAGCCGGGCCCCGCCGCCATGCCCTGGGCTGCTGAAGCCTCGGAGTGCGCTGGCGGCCGCGGGCCAGTCTGAGGGCAGTTTACGGACCCGCTGAGCCCGGCTCTGCGGACCGTCCGTGGCCCTCTGACTGCCCTCAGCTGACAGACGTGACGGAGGACTCTGGCAGCCCAGACATGCCACACACGCGGGAGCAGTGACATCACTGCCGGCACTGGGCTGGGTCCCCGGGGAGCCCTCTGGCCCTGTGGTGTCTGCAGAGCCAGGGAACAAATGGCCGTGCCCCGGGGAGCCCATCGTGAGGCTGTGGGGGGCCCGTAGGTCTCTATCAACCGTCACCCATCACACCAGCTCCCGCCCAGAAGCCCACAGCCAAGGTGGAACCAGCTGCCCCGACAGAAACCACCCAAACGAGCCTGTGCCGAAGCCCCGGGGTTCAGGGACCGAGCGCCCAGGCTCCTGCCAGAGCCCCGCGGTTAGCAAGTCCTGCCCCCTCCACACGCCACAGGCCTCACCCCAGGGAGTGCACCCCCTATCCCAGGGCCGGTCCCCTCTCCCTCACAAGCCCAAGCAGGTCCCATGGCAGGGCTTCCCCTAAGCCCAACCCCGCCCAGCCCCACTCTGCATGCTAGTCTCATGACATCCAGTGCCACCCGTGGCCTGGCCCGGGGACCTCGTGGGGACAGAGCCTGTCCCGGCTGGCAGAGTGGCACAGCCAGGAGGCAGAGGAGCTTGCAGCTCGGGGCTCTGTGTGCCCTCTGGCAGGAGAGGGCAGGGAATGCCGCCCTGGGGACTGGAGGGCCCGCAGCCCACCCCACCCCCACCCCATCCCTGGCTCCCAGATCCCAGGAGCTCCCTGAGGGGAGGCTGGCCTCATTGGGGCCAGACCTGAGCTTCGGGGAGGGGGCAGGGTGCCCCCACTTCCCTTGGGCTGCTGTCCTCTCTGCTGACCCTGCAGCTCACTGGGCTTGGAGGGGTGGGGGAGGGAAGGGGACAGCACCTGCCACCTCCACAGGGGACCCCAGGGCCCAGGGGGAGAACCCTGGACCTGAGCCTGCATCTGGATGAACCCCAGAGCTGCCGGTGGGGCCCC